ATTAATTATAAATATTATAAAATTCTATTCTAAATTTCCTGTCCATTTGTTATTATCTAATCTAAGATTAAAAAAAACCAGATTCATCTAAATTAGATATCTTTCAAATATGAATAAAATATTTTAATTTTATCCTATTATTGCTGTGAAAATGCAGCATTTTTATTAATCACTTTCATTAAAATATTCCAAAAAAGAAGATTAGATATAAAGCGACCGATTATTAAATTTGGAAATATGATGCTTTTTAATAATTTTCATAATACCTTAGTAACTATTGAAAATATCTGAAGTATTAATAATGTTATAATATGCCTCAAGTATATATTAATAAATATTTTACACCTCAGTGATTTATTTATTAAATATATTTTTATTTTATTTCATATTTGGATTACATAACAATTGATGTAGTTTTTAGAATTATTGATTGATATTAAAAGAGAAATCAAAAAGTATTATAAAGATCTATATTTTATATATAAAATGAATTCAATAATTTTAATTGTATTTTATTCCATCCATCTAATTCTTATATTAAATATAAGTAAATTCTTTTCGACATTGTGTTATTAATCATTTTATATTCCCCTCACATTGAAATCAGCTATTAATAAAATTATATATGTTATCCACCTTATTCAAAGTATGCTCTATTATAACTATTGATAAAGATGATTAATAAGTTTTTATATCCTATTAATATAAATTTCATCTCAAATTTAATAGAAACAATTTAGATTATTTTAAGATTTATTTATTCCATAAAAATATCAAAGTAGAAAAAGCATTAAATGAAATATATTTGTTTGATAAATATTATGATAAATCTATTCAATATCATCCTTCTCTCCTTAGTAACAAACTTAAAAATGGTCAATATTTTTAGTGATGCTAGTCATCCTCTCGAGGATAATAAAATGAAACTTGTGATCAATCAAACCCAATTTATACCTTAATTCTGTTTTTATTTTGATTGAACATCTAAAGCCATTTTTAATATTTTGGAAGGTAAATGTGACAAAGGATGAAAATGAAAAAAATTATCAATCTCATCAAAATAATATTAATATAATTCATTATTTATTGTACAAAGCATTTGCTGTAAAACTGATTGTTCAAAAGTTGAAAGAGTAGAACAGTATTGATCTAAATGGTTCATAATTGATGACTAAAAAGCATAAAAATAAACTCCTTCAAAATAACTATAATAAATAAATATTTCAATACAATAACCCTAATGATATAGAAGAATTTGTCTTTTTTTTCAAGAATTGGTTTTAGAGTAAAGCTTAATCTTAATATAAAAATTAGAAATATTATTTATATCAATTATCTTCTAAATGAAGAAGTAATAATTGAATATATTGATAACAGTATTTAGGTTCAAAAATAAAAATTACTTCAATTTTATGGTCTTATAGAATAGAGAAAAATATTTTGATTATTTATATTGATCTATAAATTCATTAAAAATAAATTTCATCCATATATACAATCTAATTTCTCTGGTGATTCATACCCATCAAAATGAAGAGAATTCATTTAAAAAATGCCTTAATACTTGGATATAAGATTCCAATTATATGAAAGTAGAATATTTATTATTTTTAGAGCCATTTCATTTTCTCTTTACAATGATATATACAAATTTGTATTATATATAAATCCATAGTCCTTATTGTGTTATCAATGAATGTTTAAATTCAAAATCATATATTATTACCCTATATATTTCTAAATAATCTAATCAATAGTTATGTTTTTATCTTCTTCTTTTTGAATCATCTCTTATTTGATTATAATACAGAGTACTTTGCAAAAAAAATTTATTAGAAGTTCTATTGGAAGTAATCAAATTTATTTAAAAATGTATAATAAGCAATAGCGATAATTAAATTGTTATAATATATTTATGAAAATTAACAATAAGATTCTTTAGTATTGGGTATTAAATCCGAATAGGCTAGATCTTGTTTTCTGTAAATTAATTCAAAAATTATTTTATTGATATTTGAATCATACTAAAGAGTAAAATTGAATTATTTTGTGAAGTTGAATTTTTAAATTTAATAAAGCAGTTTAATTTTTCTAAATCCAAAATACACTACTGTAACTACCACCTCGAACTAGATAATAAATAAATTTAAATACTTGATTAAATAATGTAGTTTACTGAATTGAGGATTTTTTCTTTAGTCCTATTCAAGAAATCAAAATTGAGAATATAATGATAATCAAATCCATAAACAATTGAATGAGTTAAATTAATTCTCACTTAGTTAGTAAGCTTATTGCTTGTAGTAATTGAGATGAAGTAAAGATTATTTAATCGAAAAGATGACCCATTTACTGCTAAGAGCATTTGATATCCTAATTGTACGTAATCCTTTATAATTATCTTCTATCTCTACTGATCCAGAGATTAAATTGGTGTTGAAAATCTAAAATTAATTTGAAAATACTTTTGCGATATGAATTTTGATAATAATATATAAGTATAAGGAGATAATTTGAAGTGATGGTTGATTTCTAAATATTATTGTTATTAATAATTTGAATTTAACTTAGTTTTTAATTTAATTTAATAATAAATAGAATGAAATAAGTTGATTCATTATCAACAATTTGATATTAATTAAACCTTATTCTATTTAAATAAGATTATACCTAACATTAATTCTTTATAATTGAAATTTCCTTTCTTTTAAATTCTACATAAATTTCAACAGCTCTTAATGATTAGTATACCCAAGTTTATATGATTGAAATTGTAATAAATTCTAAACCAATTCAATCTACACTATTTTTAGTAAAATAAAAATTAGATTAAATGATTGTTCAATAAAGACATTATCGATGATATCAGTTTCTAAATTAATTTTGATATCATCAATAAAATAAATATCTGATTATATATACTTTTGAGTTATATTATAATACTGATTCTTACTGTATTTGCAATTTTAATTGATCTATTTTGAAG